ATTGCTTTCTCATAAATACATATTTCCCTTCCAAATCTTTTTCTTCTGTTGATAAAAAAACGTTTGGTAACATTATAAAGTAACATTGCTATTTTTACGTATAGGCTTTACCTGTCCTTTTAGGAGTGGTAACTAGCAAACATTATAAATATAATTTGTCAATATTTATATTTACAAATTAGAATTATAGAGATAGAGTATCGAGTCTTAAAAACAAGTAAATTTTTGTCTTCTAATTATCAAATTTAGTATTCTATATACTTACACACACAATGTATCTTGACGTATCTATATTTATTTAATAAATAAAATGAGTTTTTACACATGCAAAAATTATAAGACAAAATATATATAGAAGTTATAAAGGAATCACTCCTATCTTAACATATTTATATTATAACATAACATAACACTCATAACATAACATATTTATTACGCAAAATGGTATGAAAAAGTTGATCCACTTTTCTCAAAGCATTTGTATGAAAACACTCTATCTAAATATATAATCTAAGGAAAAGGATTAACAAAATAGTATTAAGAATTTAAACTAAAAGTGATAAATTCTAATCTGGTAACCTTAGCAAACACATATGTATAAAAATGTTGATCTTTTTTTCGAAGCATTTGTATGAGAAAATCTATCAAGTATGATATTGTTTCTATCTCTTACTGACGTTTAAAATTTTGAAACGGTTTAGAATATCAAGCTATCTAATAGCACATAGAAAAATGGTGGTCGTCGTCTATAGCACTATGATCACCAAAGAATACACTATGATGCCAACGTTATCCCTTACGTCTTTTACGCCTGAAAATTAGACTATTTTGCTTAGTAATATGATTACCACAGAAAATATATACGTAACACATATATGAAAAAGTCCTTTGATAAATTAATACTTGGATTATAAATAAATTTTCATAAATATTTTTACCACCAACCTTTTTTCACATGTTAATATCTATATTGTGAAATAATAAACTCTTTTTTTTTCTAAATTTACTCTTTTATGCTATAATTAACTTAGGAGAAGCTTAACGCTCAATTAGTACATTACTGAATACCTATAAAACCAACAGAGTGTATGAACACTCAATGACTGGAATATTTTATCGGAAACCATAATAAATACATAAAACACATTACGACAGTTCTTTTTAGAATAAAAAACCACAAGATGTATCGGTTCAAAAATACTACTGCTGGAAGTTGATTCCAAAGAGTATATATTTATACCTATATATATACCAAAATATAATACATATCTAAATACAAGTTGATACTACGACATTATTTCGTACTTTGAAAGCTGGAAATTTAACCTTTAGTTCTTTTGACAACGTCAATGCCGAAATATGTCTCCATCAACCAGTATGCAAATAATACTGAAGATGAGAAAAGGTCAATCTCTGACCTTCTCGAATGTATAAAGTGGCTATATTAAATTTTGTTGATTATATTATCGTCCGTTCTTACGGGCATGCAATGGAATTAGTCAGTTATATACTTACATTAATAATAATTAAAGCGGATGTGTATGTACCGCCGGCAATATTTTGCCATGCATAACCATTCTATTTTAAAACTAGCTCTTTACCTGGTACTTCGTACACATAAATATCAAAAGGAAAATCAGTGAGAGAGACCACTCTTAGATAATAATCAAGTTTAAACATATACCAGTTTATAAGTTAGACTTTCAGAATTACAACTGTGAAAACTGCATCTAATTTTGTACAATAGTTTTTGCGTGATGCCGGAACAAACATGCAGGTAAACAGATGGACAAAATAACTTTAGATGGATAAAATATTGATATATATACGAAGTTACTTTATTGTATAGACAGGATGCAAAGGCCTATCAATTTTCCATTGATGCAACAATGATTGGCAACGTCTGCATCTGCAATTTTTTTAATATCTTTTCGATCCTTTTCATAAACTACTTTCGTTATCTTTAAAACATTTGCTCTAAAATAAATATTTTTTTTCTTTTACAATAAAATTAACATCAAATGAAAAAAAATCAACGTCACATTTATAATGTAAATTTTGTTCTAAGTTGATCTTATTATGCAACGAAAACAATAAGTTAAAGAAATATATATATATATAATGTGTGTCCGTGACCATTGATGGAGAAGGACAATGGGTTTGTCGAGGCACACGGAAGTGACACATGTTTAATAAGATTATGTTGTAATCCACACCTGCGATAAGGAAAAAGTTTGGAAACCCAAAATAGAGGTAATGCACTACGTAATAGTTTCATTTATGATCTAAATTTAATATATAACTATTATATATAGAATGAAGTGACAAGTGAAAGATTTTTTGCGATTTACCCTCGGGTTTAAAATTAATGCTCGAAATTTCTGAATAAATGAGTATAAGAATGACGATGAGAATACGCTTGCTAGTATAAATGAGGACTTCATTTACATATTCTAAAACCATTCTCTTTCTTTTCACGTCTCATAATTTCGATTTATAACAGAAAATATTAAAATAAATACCATTTATTTCTCTTCAGCTTTTATCATATTATATTACATTAGGTGTTTAGCTCACATAGAATGAACAAAATAAATACATTTTGTACATCAATAGATAATTTAATGCAGGAAACCCTTGATGCCCAAATCCTAATCGAACTTAGTCACATTTGGTTAGTATTTTATTTTATTTTGTGATATATAAAGTATAAATTCATTTATGGATAATAAAAATAATTAAATAATACAATAATATATATATATATATATATATATATATATATATATATATATATATATATATATATATATATAATAAACATAATATAGCCTTTATTCAGATCAACTTAATACATTAAAAACAAACATAAAATTAAAAAAAAAACTTAAAATAACTTATTCTAATGATTGTTTCTTACTTATTTTTTGAAGATCTGTTTGCCATTTGGCCTCCTCCAAAGGTCTCGCCTATCCTGAGCCACTCTGTCCCACATTTTTCCAGCCACTTGCCACTTCCCTGATGTCATCATCCCATCTTATGCAGGGTCTGCCTCTTTTCCGTTTGCCTTCCTTGGGATACCATCTTGTCACTTTCTTATATATATATATATATATATATATATATATATATATATATATATATATATATATATATATATATATATATATATATGTATAATTTTCCACAATACACTACAAACAGTTACTGTTAACACTCAGAATATACTCGTATAATATAATTTAAATTAAAATACAAGTACAATATGACATCTTATTTGAATCCGCCCTCATAATATTTACAAGAGACGAGAATCGTTGGCTTGCTGGAATTTGTTTTTAGTCTTTGTTTATCTACCTAACATAGCGACGCTCGTGTGAACATATAATGCTACGTGACGTCCCCTCAATTGCTCCCATTCCATAGAAACTCATTTATGTTGACAATATTTGTGTCGCTGGTTTCTGATTACGTAATATTTTTCGTTCCCTGTATAATAATGCCAGTAAACAATGCTTACCTCTCTGGAATTCATAAAATATAATAAATAATATGTATGCTTAGATCATTTTACTTGATGTAGTCATAACTATATGTTAGGATTAAGTTACATTGGTAAGGATATTACATTATAAGTGATGGAATTATGTTACTAAAACCAAATCTTCTAACTCTACATACATAAATAAAAATTATTTGTCGAATGTGTGTTTATATTAGTCAGGAAATATGTTTATATTGGTCAGCTCAGGATTGATATTAAAGAAAATATTTAAAAAATCATACGAAAAAATGAAAAAATGCAAAACCAGAACGAATATGTAGTTAGTAATAAATGTAAAAATACATAACTTTTATTTGAGAATAAGACCTACATTATGTAAATAAGAAGTAGACTAGTATTATTTAGTGAGAACTCAGCCAATAACAATTATTGACAGTGACATGCTTGGATTCCCATCATATGTGTGTTAACTTCTGAATACATAAAGTTCCCTTCAGTTGAACATACATTGTATTTACTCTTACATATAATATTTACATAGAGCATATTGCACACTACGCAGTTTTATTAACAGAGGTATATGCTCTTACATTATATAGATAGAGTGTCTCCATACAAATGCTTTGAGAAAAGCAGATCAACTTTTTCATACAATTTTGCGTGATAAATAGTTGAATGTATGTGAATGTGTGTGAAAAAGACTCTATTTTCCGCGCTTAGCCTCTCATTTGGGCCGTTGTACCTATGAGTCGTGGCTAGTACAGCCAACCTAGCTCCGCCCAGAAGCGCAGAAGCTTCCTGGGTTCTTCACAGGCCTCACGGAGCGACCTTACCGTTCCGAGGATTTCTAAACGTTGATGAACCACAGCCTCACATTCCAGGATTACGTGAGCAGTCGTTTCTTCGTGAAACGTGATAAATAGTTATGAGCGTTTCCTTTACAACTGCTATATTTATTTTGTTTTATAATTTTTGCATCTTTTTAATGCGGAAAAACTCATTTTATGTATACAACAATTAAATAAAACACTTCAAAATACATTATGTTGCGTAAGTATATAGAACACTGATAAAAAAACGAATTGGCTAATTTGACAATTAGCTGACAAAAAGTTGAGCCGTTTTTGAGGCTCGATGCTCTATCTATATAATCTAAGACTTATCTATATAAAGTTCAATAAACATTGTTGCTTTTTGAGGTTCCATAGATCGTATGCAAATAAAGTCAGTATAGTACTTACATTATGTCTATCATCCAAGCGAATTGTGATAAGGACTTCTAATTTTAAAATAACTTATTAAGATAATTCTAAATATCTAAAGTAGAATGCTACGTATAAAAAACATAATTGTGTTCATATAGGTATTTTATTAAATTTATTTAGATTAAACTTATGAACTATATATGCAGCATAAAATATGAGACCCAAAGGGTTCAACTCCGGACGGAGGCTGTCGTTAGATAAAATTGAGGTTATTTCTCTATATGTTGCAGGTGACAACGACGAGCATGGTCTGCCCACACAGAAGGACAAGGGATGTGACACCAATCTTTACCTATATCATGTAAGTGCTATGCATAATATATTACTGATTTTTTTTTTTACTTTGTTTGTAAAAAAAGTTTGATATCTCAAAATTTACCCCAATATGTTTCTCAATTCTGAAGTGTTTCAATTTTTTTTTCATTGTAAGGATTTATTATATAATAATATAAGGGATTTATATAGAAATTGAGCATAAGTTTAAATGCACACGACCCTTAACAGCATAATACAAATTTACCAGGACCTGGGCTTGACAGTTGATGCAGACATAGGTCACGGACGTAGATTAAATTATTTATTTTTAGCAACTATACATTCATCAGTAACATTATTTATCTATATTTATAAATATCTTGCACACTAACATAGCTACATATTAAATAATGAATTGACATAAACTATAAATAATGCATGTCTGCGTTGACTGTAAAAAAAAAGTAATTTGGCGCCAAAACAATAAAAAAGATTACGTGCACGCGTCGCGGAGTAATCTGTACTGACAACACAACGAGCTTACGAGCCGCAGAGCAATGCAGCTTCAGAGATATCCAGATAGATCTGTATTTTGTTTTATGTAAGGAGCTCTCTGACCTACGCAATTTTGAATACAAACATATTTATATTTATACAAATAGTTGAACTGATTAACAATTTTACATTATAACATACCTAGGTTTTTTTATAATACTTTAAACATAAATATATTAAAAATAGTGTTAACTCTTAAATTGTGATTTATATTTACTTTTAATTTACTAGTACTGTGTATACATTTGAAAGGTGGATATGATAGTGAAATTACATGATACAGTGGCATAACACTTTAGTTCTCACGAATGGTAACGCATGAGGGGTATCATGGACGACACACCTACTCTGGTGCTATTCAAGTCTATAAAGCAACGGTTACCACTGTCCATCAGGTGGGCAATCAGCTTGTTTGCCTTTGTTAGTTGCGTAAAAAAAGTTATTACTTACTCTGTGGTAGTTCTATATTTATAGATATGTTACAAAATCTGCTCTTCCCTGCGTACTTACTGTGAAATACGTCATCTTCGTCTCAACATAGTATTATGTAGCCTTAGCGTAGGAACAAAGACATCGCAAACTGTCGTATTCTGTTTTCTCCTACTTTAAGATTAAATATAATAATATTGTAGTTTCAGCATGCGTTTAGCCTTCCTTTGTTAGTCTCATACTAATTTTATCAAAATCATCTATAAATTTAGAATTCCCTGGACTTATTTTTATTTATTTTAGTAAACATGGGTACTTACCTTAATAGTTATTAATTTTGATAAATTACGCGAAATAATGCTTATTGCGATGTATGCAGAGTATATCCAGCAGAAATAATCCGTCATCCAAATTATTGTATTATCCAAACATGGGTCATGATGTTGTTATTGTTTTATCTCTAGATTTACATTGTAGGTAATCGCCCTTATAAGTGCATATGTACAAAGTTTATACTCATTCAAGATTTACTTTCAAAATAATTTCATGTCTCATAAAATTAATGAAAACTTATCGCTTAAGTTTATACATGTAAAAGGTTTATTTTCAGGCTACTATGATCTATATATATTTTATATTCTGGTATATATTCACACAATTGTTAGCGCTATCACATGAATAACCAGAATGAACCCTTGAAAAAAAAATTATTATTTATTCTTTCTTGGCTCTTAATGAAGTGCAATTTTTTTTTATCCATTATTTTGTCTATATGTATGTATTATTCTTCGTATATTTCAATTAACTTAATTATGTGGTTGGTGGCTTTAAGTAAGTCATGCTCACTAAACTGTCCAGACAGGTGGTAGCGTGATGGACCGGGTTATTGACTTCCCTAAAACGTTGAGCACAATGTTAGCTGGTTCACCCGTCATACCCGTGAACGGGTGTTTCCTGCAGGCTCTGGTCGGCTCTGATCATCGTAACCGATTTATTTTATATGATTTGTTCTAATTATATACTATATATTTTAATTTTTATGATCTGATACCGCTTAGTAGTTTTTATTCACACAAATTCATTATTTATATAGTTAAACTTTAAAAAAAGCAACAGCTGAGTTTCTTGCCCGTTCTTCTTGGCTGAAATTGCATTCCGAATGGGCGGTAATGAAAAAATTACTATTCAAAAATGCTTAAATCTAAGTTTATATGAATAAAAATATTTCTTCTTTCACACATAACATTCAAGAAATAAATATAACAGTCCTCTATCTAAATACGTTCGTACTTAAACACAATTTCTGATTTAAACACGTAATATGGAGACATACGTAAGCAGTTCAAAATAACATTGGCGTGGGCTAATTTAAGGTCGGATTAAAGGATATATTCCATAAGGAAACGGAATAAATCGAGCGCCTTATTGAAATTGAGTTAGAAGCATATTGCCTAGCTACCGGTACCGGTGCTACGCGCCCTCGATGACCCGTATAGATCTCATAGTGCTCGTAGCTCCGTAGACCGTTCGTAGCTCGTTACATGCTCTCGTAGCGTCGTAGCTTTCCAATTTCTTATGCGATTGACTCGTGTTCGCCCCATTTGTCATTCGGTTTCGATTCCAGGAGGTTATTACTGAAAATCTACAAATATAATATTTAAATATAATATAAATTAATATACCTATAAATGTAACACTTTATAAAGACGTTCGGATATTTGTTATTCAATTAAAGCCATAACGGATTTTAATTTAATGTCATATAGTATTATATATATATATATATATATATATATATATATATATATATATATATATATATATATATATATATATATATATATATATATAGATGAATACATATAATTCTTTGTCTTTATTTAATCTAATCAACTCACGGATTTATAATAAAATATAAAAACTTATATTTGGAGCATATTATAAATGAAACATGGACAATGACGCAGAAGGAAAGAAAGATTTGTACATTCGAAATGTGGACATGGAGGAGAATGGAAAGGATAACTGGACGGAAAAACTAACGAACGAGGAAGTCTGAAAAAGTAAACGAGAGGAGAGCGTTGATTGAAATAATGTTTCTGGGCCACCTTATACGACATGACGATTTTTTTGAGCATAATAGAAGGAAACTGAGGGCAAAAGAGGAAGGAAGTGAGGATACATGGGACAGATAAAGGAACACTAGGCGTCATGTCGTATAGGGAGATAAAGGATACTGGGATAGAGCTGGCTGGAGGAAGATATGGACACCGACTGATTGAAAAAAAAAACTCAGGAATTGCAATGCATGAGGATATCATGGGCGAAACAATATACTCTATTATCTCCTCGGTACTGCGCATGTCTATAGGCGACGGTTACCACTTTCCATCAAGTGGGCCGTTAGCTTGTTTGCCACTCTAAGTTGCATTAAAAAACACACACACACATAAAATGTAATAAAGTCAGCAACGCGTACGTGACACCCCTAGTGTTGCAAGCATCCATAGGCTACAGTGACCCTTTACCATCAGACGGGCTATATGTTTATTTGCTACCTTTATGGTATTAAAAAAAAAGATAACGAGATCTATCAAATACAGCTCGTTTACTGTTTTAATATTTGTTTACCGCTAGCTAACCACTTATTCCTGACAATAAAAAGGATTGGGAAAGACAAACAGACTGTGGATAAATATATCGCATGAATATTATCATCCATATTCGCGTATAAATAAATAAATTTATTTCATTCTTCATGAATAAATTTGTTTCATTTATTATGAAGCATACTCTTCCCGTCAAGTAGTCAGAAAATAACAAGGTATATTACAGGGTACAGAGGAATAACACTTGAGTCTTTAGGAATGACAACGCATGGGTATCATGGGCGAAACAGTATACTCTGTTATGTCCATGGTACTACTCATGTCGATAGGTGACGGTTACCACTTTCTATCAGGTGGGCCTTCAGCTTGTTTGCCATTCTAAGTTGCATAAAACAAATTATAACAGGCTCTATGACGCGATAAATTATTTAAAAAAGTAACGGGTTTCATCGAAAAAGGATGGCAGCCAAAATATCAGATCCAGAAAAAAACAAAAATACCAATATATGAACTAAATGTATAATTTAATACATGTACAATACTGTGTTTTATATCTACTGCAGTATTAATAGTAATATTGAAAATAATAATTTTTATTTTCTCTAACCATAAATTTACGTAAACCGAATTTTATGTACATAAAACAACGGCAAGTAAGCTTCTTAATAAAAAAAATATAATATTAGCAAATAAAGGTGATGGTACACCTGTGTGCGGTTCGCTACGAGGCTGCGGGCGGCTGGAATAATCCACAGCGCAATCTTCTATATAATTCAAGCGCCATTTGCCAAACTCTCGACTTTAGGCTTAGTTACATACGTCGATGGGAATAAAGATATTATATAAGAATACTTTAATATATATATATATATATATATATATATATATATATATATATATATATATATATATTATTCTACCGAGTTCAGAACGTTGCTATATGCTAAAAGATACGTACGTTACAATTACATTATTTAAGTTCTTAAAGTTATTCTTAAAATTGTTTAAATGTAATGACGATATGTCATAGTAACTAATAATAATATTATTAGATAACATGGATACAATGTTTTTATTTGGATACAATGTTAGATGATTACAGTTATTACTTAGTTAAACAGAAAAACTTATGATACTGCGACTTTACTAAGATCTTTTGTGCTCGCCCTTTTTTAAACTTCGCTGCTAAATTCTGTCCGTGACAGAAATTTTAAGATGTTCTTTATAACTATGTTTTTTATCTCCTCAGGATATTAAGTATAACTATATTTTCGAAAGGATATATATTGTTTATATATGAATGGGCTACAGCCACATAATAAATGCTGCGGCATTTCTTCCTCATAGTGACAAAATCTGCAAACACTTTTTAGGCACAATAGTACTATGTGTTTGTTTGTTGGTTTCAGTAACAGTTGATTCTCTACAAGCAATATTAGAATGCGTATACTAT